ACAGGTCAGCAGTGAGTAAATGACAGTAAAATGGGCAAAGATTGACCCAAAGTGGAAGATGAAGGTTAATGAAGGGGATGAAGTTACCTTTTCTCCAAAGCAGTCAAAGCAGCTCGAAAGCAATCGGCAGGAGGGTCATACTGGATCTTCTTTCTGGCATACTCAAAATTTATCGGAGAACTTGCTAATCGATTTCTAATGTGTCATCAACACATATAGGGGGAAAAAAAATTCTAATAATGGAATGGAACATCAAATTTATCTAACAGTACAGATATATGTTGGGAGACAGTTTCAGCAGAAAGGAGGAAAGAAAAATGAGTTAAAGAAGATCTTGGAAATGTTCACCAACTATGTTAACATACAAGTGAAAGAACAGTGGAACACTGCAAATTTCCCTTCCCCAACAACTCAAGTTTCTTCTAAATGATAATATAGAGCTTTGACCTAAACAAAGTTCACAAGCATAAAGCTGATGTATGGCTTATGTCAATAGAAAAATAATTTAACATGATCTACAACTTATATTTACATCTGGAACAATGTGGATATAAGCACATGCCCTTCCAATCATTCATATTCTAAACAAGTGATATGTTGATAACTTCAAATTCATATTAGGAGGACCCTGGTGCTATTCAGATTTATTTATGCTATCGTGCTGTGTATATGTTGGACACCTGAGGCTTCAAGATAAGTTGAACATTGGCAGTGCACAAACAATTTCCTTTGCCTTATCCCTTAATGTCTTATACAGGAGCAGAAGTACATAGACATCATGTTCTCTAATTTTCTGAATGACTGCTGTGTTTCTCACAATTGCATATTGATGAACATAAATAATGTACATTGCATTAAGTGTAAAATTATAATACTATTTGAAATATACATGAAATAATTGTCATGTTGTGTCGTACTTCTAAAATACTTATCATGTCAGCTTGTCCATACCTTGTTATGTCTGAATCTTGTGACCATGTCCATGCCTCATATTCCAAGAAACTCTATATATTTACTGCAGTTAAAAAGCATAGCACATCAAAATTTCTGACTCAAGAATGCTGGGACCTTTTTATAATATATATACATGTACATATATGTTATAATGGGAACTCCAAAGTCATCATGAAATATGATGAGATAAAAAGAGCTACTACATTAGGAGAAAGGGTTAGTATGGCCAAATTGCAAACATATGTTCACCTTCATAGCATGAATGGAAATATAATCACAATTCAACAATCCATTAGCATGTTGTGAAATTTATCATCTACAACTGGTTAGTTAACTCAATTCGATGGTCACTCAATTGGCTAGTGAAAAAAGTCAGCACAAGGCTTGACGAATTTTCACAGCAAGAAGAAGAATATATCCATTTGCATATTGTGAAAATTATCATCTGCAACCGGTTAATTAATTGCACATTCAACTCAATTCTTGAAGAGTAACTCAAATCGTCGCTCAATTGGCTAGTGAAAATAGTCAGCACGAAGCTTGATGACTACAGCTCTGCCGCTCTACCTGCCAATTCCAAGAACATCCAAATTAAATAACATAATTTTAATGGTTTCAGACAAGCATAAATCCGACTGTATCTGATATATAAAGTAACAGCCAAGATGAAAGTCTAATTCCAATAATCTAATTCAATGGTATACGAAAATTTACTGCATGAAAATTTCAATAGTATCCAAAAACCAATCTAATTCTAGTGGTTTCATGTAAGTCTAATTCCAACTGCACTGTTTTTTTTTTCTAAAGGCATTTGTGATGATTCAAGCTTTAACCAGCAAGGAGAAGAATTCAAACATCAAATCCATGCAAACTGCTGTAAGAAGCAACTACCTTATGCAGCCATATTCCATAATGAACACCAATTATAACCCAAGAAGTTTCTTCCCAGTATGCTGGCACTATTAAATATGCAACTGACATTACTTACCATTCTGGCACTCCTATTGGAATAGAGCTTAATTTTTTTCAACTCATCTACCAAGGCCTGAAGCAAGCTTTTCATCTGGTTAAAAAACCTAACGAAGAGCCCTACCAGGGATTGATGAACACATTGAGTAAATGGTATTAATGTATATCAATTATGCTCTAATGAACATAAAAATCATGTTCAGTCTAATCCAGAAGATTAGTATAGTTCACATATGGAGAAATCTCTCTTCCACAAGATGACATTAGAATAATTACAGGGTCAAATGTTTTTTGTACAGAAAACATACATTATTCTGGCCAAAAACAAGTAAGCTTAAGCAGTTGAATCAACGGTTCAATTTTTTGACCAAATTCATTTAAAAGTCAGTGCACTGATAGATCCTCCCTCATAACCCTATAACCAAATCTGATTCTAACATGTTTCTAGGTATGGGTCCCTCGAATACCATTCATTAAAGTAAACTATTGGGTCAAATATGAAGCCTCAACTAGTATAAAGTAGCCTAGTACATTTGGTTTAAATGCAGTTGGATCATTTATAACAAAGATGGTCATTGGATCAGGCAAAATAAACTGGCAATATACATATATTACTTAGAAACAAAAAAAAACATTGATATTTAGCTGCTAGTAATTGGAATATTGCACAAGCTAAAGATAAGCCTCACTGTTACAAAACATTGTTGTTGCCCTGAGGCAGAGATGAGATGGCTTGGCGAGGTGGCAGCCACTTGGTAATTCTTCCACTCGGTAAGGAGCTGGCTGAGACGCAAAAAGGAAGACAAGAAAGCTCAAGCAGTTATTCTGCAGGAGAAAAAAAACCTAAGGATTCACCAGGAAGAAAGAAAGACTAACCCTTCATAAACATTCAACTTCAGTAATATTTCAAATCCTTAATGGCTGGCACTTCAGAAAAGAACTTACAAACAAAGATTCATGAAAACACATTCTCTAAAAGGGTTAATCATTCACAATGTCATGGTCAATGTGTACATTCTACTCTGGTTAAGCATACTGTGCACCAAGGAGCTAATAAGAGAAATTACTGAAAAGCAAAGATCTAAGCAACAACCTATACCTTTAAGGCACCTGTCATGATTGTGTTTCAGTGGCAATAGACATCTCTGGAAATATAACAAGAAACCATTTAACTGAAAACTATAGTCAAAGGATGAACCAGAACAGATTTCTAAAAGTCCTACAATAAAGGCAGGGAAAATGTCATTGGATTGTAGTTCGTTCTTGCTACCAAATATCAGCAAAAATTTTCTATGAGAACACACAAAACAAGCAGAAATGACTCCTAAAATGATATATAGCATTGCATCGGGACTCAATGTTGAAGGGCCAGGGGCGGTTCACCAAGATTCTTCATATAAGACTGGACAAGATCTGAACCTTCTCCATTCCATAACTTTTCTACATACACCTTATTGAATCTCTGTTGACTAATGGCAAATGCCTTTAATAAGTCAAATTTTTGGGGGCATCAACCCTCTTGATTGCAGGCTCTGCAGCAGCTGATACCTTGGCACCAGCCTTGAGTCCAGGCTGAAAAGCAGCAGCGAAGTGTTTGAGAGCAGGGCCTTGGTTAAGCCCACAGTTCCAACGAGGAAATCCAGCTTCTTCCGCATGTGCTCATTTGTGAGTCGCAGGAAGAGAGGAGACCTCCGGAGCATGGTGAACAGCTCTTCGTTGTTGAAGCCGTAGCTCCTGATGATTCACAGCCTTCTCACGAGGCTCTCTTTGGGCAATGAGGCGCACAGGTGGAGTGCATCGACATATTCTTTCGAGGAAGGGTCAATGCCCAGTTCCTTCTCGGCGAGGAGGAAGACGGACTCTAGTGAGTCGGGTTTGAGGAGGAGGAAGGGGGCCTTGTAAACAATGGTGGGCACATCGACATCAGGGTGCCCACGGAGGATGTCCAGGTTGCGGCGGAGCACCTGGTCAGCGTCGGTGGCGAGGAGGCGGGGGCAGCGACGGAAAAAGGAGACGACCATGCTGTTCTTGTGCCTGAAGAGGGAGCGGAAAAAGTCGATGGTGAGAGAAAGGCGGTTCGTGCTGTATCCGAAACAAGGGGCGCAGGCCGTGACGAGTCTAGCGAGCGCCTTGCTGAGGCCGTCGTACGGGCGGAGGAGGCTGGAGCGGTCGTCGGCGAGAAGGTAGCAAGGGCGGCATCGGACGAAACGATGGATTTGAATGGGGGGAGGCCGGCGGTAGAGCGGAGGAAGCGGAGAACAGCGTCGGGTCTCTCGGGGGAGGTGACTCCAGCGAGCCGGTTGGCGATGGCGGTAGCCTTCTCCTCGGTGTAACCGACGCGATCCATCAGATACGCCAACATGAAAGGCGAACGCGAACGCGAAGGCGAAGGCGAAGGCGAAGGCGGGCGACGAGGAGAGGAAGAAGAGGCGGGTGAGGAGGAGTAGAGACAAGGAGGCGAAGCTACAAAGACAGGAGACCTGGAATGAGTAACGACGCACCGGAAAAGACGAAAAGCCTTCACGTCGATCGCCGTCGCCATTACAAGCGCAGGCGGCGGACGGGTGAGAGTTTTAGGGTTTTAAGCGGCATGCTGCACGCGACATGCGAGAGAGAGAGAGAGAGAGAGAGAGAGGATATCTCTGCTTTTAGATTCGCGTCGTCTTGACGGAGTCGGCAACACATCACACAAATAAATAAATAAATAATATTATTAAAAAAAAAGGGTGAGGATTTTATGGGGAATTTGTTGATTGCAAACCAAATTGATGCATAAGAATTTTTATTTTTATAACCATACTTGAAGTAGAGATTAATGTGCTAATGAAAATAAAAATATTAGACTTGAGATCAATATTAATCCATAAATGAAGGAAAAAAATTATTATATACTATTAAATAAAATATAAAGTAAACCTTAAATGAGTGAATATTAATGATATAAGGAAATGGTAGTATATATACATCTTCAAAATATTTTACTAAAAATTTATAAATAAAAATTTAATTTTTTTTATTATTGAATGGGAGTAATAAATTTCTTTGTTAGAGAAAGAAATGGAAGAAGAAAGAGAAACTTGGCACCATATTAACCTTGATTTTTTTGTCTCAATATAACACTTTTGATGATGATGATGATAAGTACATACAAAATATTATTTAGGACATGTAACATTATTGTTTGTACTTAAATCATTGAAAATAATAAGGCATAGTGTTGGTTGGGCACTTAGAGCTTGTTAGTCTTAGCCAGGAGGATGACAGTGCCTGAAGTGACAGCAGGGATGAGTATGTCATCAGACACTCTTGCACCTCCAGGGATGAACCTCTTGAGGAAGAAGGTACATATGGGAACCCCAAATATGAAGAAGATGGTCTCAAGTGCTCCTTTCCCCATGGAGAAGCTCTCAAATGTAATCACATCCTTGATGATGTTTTTGAACTCCTCCTTCAACAAGGCTTTGTTCTCTCTGGGGTGGTGCTTCTGCAAGGAAGTCAAAACATGCCAAGTTGGTAGGTGAATATAATCCAATCTTAGTGTGCATCATTCCCTATTATGTTTGTCAATAATAATTATGCATGGAAAAATTGTAACTAATCTTAGTTAGTCAATAATAATTATGCATAAGAAGATAAACATCATCAATTTTTTTCTTACCTCGAAAGCAGACTTTAAAGCATCACTTGATGGCAATTTGAGTTGAATTGCCCCTTTGCTCTCACTAAGCTTTCTGTCAACAATTGAAAGAATAATTAGTGACTTCATTCGGGTAAGTTTCCAAATAATAATGAGGTGTGCAATTCAAATAATATAGTGGAAATCAATGAGTATGTAAAAAAAAAAAAAAAAAGAACAATACATATGTTTCTAATTTTGTTTGCAAAAATCAAACACATATTAGTGTATATTCAGCATCTCCAAAGGAAGGTTTGGCTCTCAGCTTTTATGACCATGTGTGTTGTGAGGCTGATGTTATCTCCACACTATATTAGGATCAATTCATCTTTAAGCAGAACATATCTTTCCTATGACTGATTTCACAAGCAATATAATCAATTTCTAATGTAGGAATAATGATGAGGTTTTCTTGGATAAAATAATCCTTTTCAAAAGGCTCCTCTGATCTTAAATCTTTTATAGCATGGTTTAATTTCACTGTCTTTTCCAATTATATTGACTGATGAGTCTTTGGGCATGGGATAAGCATTGCTTCTTAAGTTTACAAGTCATGTTGACTATGATGAACTACATATATCATAATTTGACTTGTGGCATCAAAAGAGAATTGAAAACTCAAATTCAAATACCTTTTGCAGCTACAAGCTATAAAGTCTTTAAGTCCAACATTCTTTTCCTCACATTATTTCATAAGAGCCATGTATATTTTTTGCCATATTTCATAAGATATATTTCCTACAAAGATATGTTTTAGTTCAAAGATAACTTGATGTAAACAACACGCTTACACAAGAAAGAGAATAAAAAAGAGAAAAAAAAGGAGAGACTAAATATTGGAAAACTTACTCCATAATCTCATGAAGTGCTCGGTAGAAGTCATCAAATTCTGTCACATTCTTGAAACATGAATCATAATGTTGATTTATTAATTCCACAAGATCACTTTGGAGCGCTGCCGAAGCCTTGGTCTTATTTGCTGCATAAAATTTCACAAAAAATGATTACGATATTCATGTACACTTATTTTGCAAAATCCATTCGCCCTCACTTGATTTAGGACATAACAATATATGGGTAGGAAGAACTAATGTGAGATCAAACAAGTTACCTGTGGATTCCTTGTTGCTTGGGGTTGATGTGCTCATGTTGTCTGTGTGTTGTATGCTTTGGTGATGGGAGTTTGATATGCTCAAGGCTGGCTCTGTTGTATGCTTTGACGGTAGGAGTTTGATATGCTCAAGGTTGGCCTTGCACACCAATATATACAGGAGAAGGCAAAGTTCTTTGGGTGCAGCAGTGACCATGGTATTACCCTTGGAGGAAGAAAGGTTGTGAGCAATTAGTAGTAATAGGCAAGCAAAGCTATCATGTAGTTGAAGCAAACACAGATTCTGAAGGAAATTTGTAAGAGAAACTAGCATAATTCATCACAATAAGCTACCCAAATCCTTTTGATTTACTTTATTTCTTAACAACACTATATTATATATATATATATATATATATATATATATATATATATATATATATATATATATATATATATATATATA